CAGTAGAGCAGGCACAGGCTACCCCCTCCACTAATGACTACACAGTGATTGATTGCCCTGTGGTCCCAAGGGCCACATGGAGCTCCCAGTCGCCTGGCTTCTCGTGGTTTTTCCAGGAACCTCCATGATTATTTCAGGATGGGACGTGCCATGGATTTATTTCTTGAGTATCATCACATTCTTGCTTATTGTTTCTGGGTTTCTAATATGACATCAGCTGCCGATTCTTCAGTCTCATGAGAGCGAGGACTGCCACAGGAGCATGTCTGAAAGATGGGGATACCTGAGGCAGGGAGAGAAGTAAGTGCAGGCCTGTTTGATCCAAAGCCTGAGCCCAGCTTCTGTTTGGGATGAGGAAGAAATGTGTTCCATGGGGTGGGGGGCGCTATAGTCGGTGAGGAGAGTGCACTTAAACCAGCATTAAAACGCAAGTGTCAGCTATGTAGGTAACTAAAAAGAGGGTGCTCTGTGTTCCCGCCCCGTCTCCTCTGGAGTCCTGCAGGTGGCTCTGCATTTCATTAGTCTGTGACCTGCAGCCTGGACATCTCAGTGCCGTCCCTTCGTCTGTAGCAGGCCTGCCCAGTGCCCGTTTCTTGACTGCCCTCTGGCAGGGTCCTGGACGCATTGTGGTAGACCTCTGCTCCGTCTTTTACACTTGGCATCTGCATCACTTTGTTCCAAACTGTGAGGAAAGGACACCTCGGTGTGTTCCATACTGCAGAAACTCAAGAGGCAGAGGCAGGATGATCACTCCTTCAAGACCAGGCAGGGCCACATAGATTTTTATCTCAAAAACAAGAAACAAACAAACAACCCTCCCACATGCCCCAACAGAAACATGCAAAAAGCATAATCTGGGGCCACCGGTGTTTTCATGGTGAAGCTGATTGGCTCGAATTTCTGGTCAGAACTTCTGTCTGGTCTGCAAAGGCCTGTTTGGAGTGTTCTGGTTACAGGCTTGTTTTCTGTTTGGACACACAGATCAGATTTTCTTTACTGCTGTCTTCCACGCTTTGGTAGCTTTGGGTCCCATTTACCACCATGCTGTCCAGAGGGTCCTTCAGTGCGGGTTTATCTTAGGTGTCTCTGTCTACAATTTTAGGTTCTAGGTGGCGACAGAGAGCGTTTTTTTTAGGGCCTCGCACTAGCAAGGCGAATGATCACCTCAGGCTCAGGTCACCTCAGCCTCCTTGGCTGTGAGACTTGGCTTGAGAAACCACCTCATTTAAAACTGTTCCTTCTCTTATAGAGACGAAGAGTTTGGTGCACGTTTTCTTACGTTTCTCATTTCTCGGGCTCTGAGGGTGCAATCTGGTTTTCACGTCCCTGGTATTGTTGTACGTGTTTCTGCATCCCGTGGGAAGCCGCATGCTCTTTCCCATCCGTATCTCTGTTTACAGCAGTTATTCAGACTTATCTCTCTTTCCCCGGGTTCTATGTTCCCCACTTGGCTGTTTCTGTCTTGACCTCAGTTGTAAAGTGTGCCGTTGCTCCCAGCTGGCTCGCAGGATCAACTTCCAGAAGGTTTCCCGCTTGGCACATCTCGTGAGCCTCACACAGTAATGTGTATGTCCCAGTTGCTCCATTAACCCTGGGGTTTCATGATGCGGAAAGGGTAGATAGCAGCCTGTGCTTGAGAGCCTTGTGGGAAGTTTGACTCCCCTCCCCTCACCCCCACACCTCTGCCTAGATATTTGCAAGATTTATCCTTAGAGTTCGTACATCCAAACATTTGCTAAAATGTCTCTAGGTGTTCTTTCCTATGCCAAAGTGGCTGGGAAGTAGAGACCAGCTAGAGTTTTATGCTGCTGAGCTAACTGTGGGTTTTATAGCTCCCCAGTGGTTGAATGTTGGCAATTTCATGTGATCTGGGTTTGCTCCCTATAGTGTGTGTGTTTGGATGTGCGCTGTTTGTGTATGAGTGAGCATTCATATATGTGCTCATGAGTGTTGAGGCCAGAGGTCAATCTTAGGCATTGTTCCTCCTGAGGAGCCTGGAGCTGTCCCATGAAACTGAGCAGCTGACCAGTGAGCCCCAGGGAACCACTGATCTCTTTCCTTGCCCCCAGCATTGGGGTTACAAGTGCACGTCACCATGCTGGGACTTTTATGTGGGATTCTGGGGATGGACCGCTGTCCTTTGCCTGTACTTCATCGGTCTTTCCAGTTCTCCTTTCCTCAGTTGTCCCTATCCCCTTACTGCGGAATGTACCAGAAGCCAGATTCTGGCTGCCCCGTATACTGCTGCTACTGGGGCGTCTATTTTGGCTCTGCCTCCTGTCCTGGTGTCCTCTTAGCTCTCTTCTCCCATCTCACACCGTCATCTTTCCTCTCACTGGATTGATCCTGCCAGCCATTTCCTCTGAACTCTGGAAGAGCGTCTCAAGTGCATCCTCCACGCCATTGATTTTTTTTCCCCCTCTTGGCCCTGGCTCCACTCTCTGCTGCCTCTGCTGCAGATTCCTGTCCCATTATCTGACACGCAGCTTCTTCCCAGTCCTTTGCGTCCCGTCCCCGCTTCACTTAGCCCACACTAAAGCAGAGGCTGCCTTTCTTCCAGGCTCCCCAGAACTTCCTGCCTGTTCTCTCTTCTGAGTGTTTTATCCCTATTGCTTAGTGGTCTTTACTGTCTAGATACTCACATACAGCTTACTGAGCAGTTTGGTTTGGTTGTAGGTGATGAGAAATGCTTCTGGGAGCTTCCCTTTCAATGGGAGAAGTGGGCACTAGATGGAGGAGGTGGATAGTCTGTCTAATGTCATGGGCCATGCCCCACCCTGGAAGATATGCTGAAAGCCCAGCACTCTGGAATGGGATCCCATGGAAAAACAGGGTCATCAGCAGAGGGTGGTCTTTTAGCCAGGATTCAGCTATAATGGAATGGGGTTGACTCTTAGTTCAGCTTGAGGAGTGTCCTGATGAGAGGCCAGTGTGGAAAAGGGAGGTGGGACCACAAGAGGTGGAGCTAGAACTTGGTAGTCACAGGCCAGGAGCGCCCAGGACTGTGGACACCAGAGGCTGATGGAAAGGTAAGCTTGGAGAGCTCACAGTGCCACCCACACCCCAACTTCTGCCCTTACCCCAACCTCTAGAACCAGGCCAGAGAGTACACATTCCTACTGCTAAGCCGCACTGTGCTGCAGCACAGGGAAATCAGCCCTAGGAAACCAACACGGATGTGGGCTTGGGAGCTGGAGATGTCCAGGAGAAAGGGCAGTGCCTCTGTCCCCGAGCCTCTGAGCTATGCACTGCTAGGATCTTTTCTCCCAACCTTGGCTGCACAGGGAGCTGGGGGCAGCGGGGCCAAGGCAGCACCAGACTCCAGGTGGAATTCCAGCCCTCCACTTCCCCTGTGGGACTGAGAGGTACCCAACCGCTTTGACGCTCAGTGAAATTGATCTCAAAACCTCTTTGCCAGAGGACTTTGGGGAGCTCGAAAGAAGAAATGATGGGTAAGGGGTCGAGCCTTGGGGTTGGTGGCCAGCCCTGTGTTGGTGACTAGTCAGGGGCTGGAGGCTGGAAAGGCAGGGTATTTGGGTTGCTGCTTTCAGCACTGTTTCCATTTTGTCCTTTTTGAACTTGGTCGATGAGCAGAGTGTCCTGCTCTGCCCTGGATCCTGAAACCTCAGCTCCGCACATGTGGCCTTTCCCTTAGAACTCAGCTGGGCCTTGGAGGCCAGAAGCTATTTCACGACCCACTCTGGGGAGACAGGAAAAGACGGGCACAGCAGAGCCCCCTTCCCCACTGGCCCGAGTCCTCCAGGCTCCACAGCGCCCATCTAGAGCCTGCAACAGCGTAGTCCTTGACAACATGGAGGGAAAGCTTGGGCAGTAGCAACCTGGGTTATCCCCGGGGGCTGGTCCTCATTTGCAGAGACTCCTAGGGTCAAAGTGTGACTCACAGGCTCTGTCTATTTTCGAGGATACCAGGAGATGTGCAGTTCTTCTGGGTCCCCTGGCTCCCCAGCTCTGAGCTCTGGATCCCCATCAGTGAAAGTGGATAATCTTATGACCTGTGATTTATAACTGCCATCTGCTGTGTCAAAGCAAACCTTGGACCCGTTTGAGTCAGAAAAGACGCCAGCAGTCGGCGTGTGAGATCTTCATGTTGACGGCGTTACCCGTGGCCGCGCGGGGATGGGAGGGAAAGAAAGAAGTCCAGCTGCTTCCCTCCACACTCAGAAGGGTGAGTCTCTTAGCCGAGTGCTCAGCTGTTGGGAACTGGCCTGAAGCTCTGTTTCCAGCCTCGGCATCACTCTGGTACTTCTGCTCCCAATGCCTTATGCTCTGTGGAATTCTGATGCTCCCCTAGCATAGCATGCCTGCTACCCTTGGCCCTGCAGCCTGCAGCCTGCAGCCTGGGATCCTGCTGGGCCTCTGCCTAGCACTCTCCTCCTTAGAGGCAGAGTCGATCCCTTCCCCTGGTGGCTGGAGTCACTTCCCCCTCCTTTGCCCTAGATCCTTCATTTCCCTTGAGAGTGGACCTTCTTGGTCATGCTGTGACCGACCTGAGAACAGGGGTGGGTGCAATGATATCTGGGGGCCCAGGTGATGGACCAGTATCTGATAGGGGCTGGAGTTTGCAGTAGACGGTGATAGGAAGACATATTTACAAGGGGGAACCACAAGTTGTCTCCCTCCATCCCTAGAGTGACTGACTCTGGGTGGGACCAGGAGATGGGCTCTCCGTCCTAACAGCAATGCTTTGGGATGGGCCAGATAGCTCCTGGCTCCCACCCCTTTGCAAGAGACAAGACATGGGTGGGTGCCCTACTTGTCATTCAAACATGGCTTAAATAGCCATACAAGTTCCAGGGGCACAGAACCTGGCTATCAGTAAGCTAATAAGCCATGGGGAAGCTCAAGGAGGCTGACTCCTGAGGTCTGAGGTCAGAAGGGAGAGTTGGCCCTGAGGCCTATACTGAAGTCAAGGCTGGGACAGAGCATGTGGACCCCCACACCCAGGGGCATCATTGTCCCTAGAGACAGGCGGCACCTACCTTGAGCTTTTTGACGCTGGTGCAGGGATCGTTGGAGAAGCTCTCTGTGTCTGAGATCTCTATGTCCTCCCCGTACAGAACCCCGGTCAGGTCATTCCTCACCTGTGGACAGAGACAAATCAAGAGCTCAGGCGGGCTGTTGTCAGGAAGGCCCATTCATCAGGGTTAGTCAAACTGGGGACCGATTTTCCCCACTCCTCTAAGAAAAAGAAGGGAGCACCACCCTGTGATACTAGGACATGACTCCAGGCTGGGGCTGCTCAGCTTGCTCTCAGAGTTCCCACAAGAGGCAAGGTGAAGAGATGGCCGGGCCAGCACCCCATGTTGCCGGGTCAGGGTCAGGCTGTCTGTTTATGTTTTGCAGTATAAGCTCCAGTATGTCTTTCTGTTGTGGTGAAGACATAGCCAAGGCTCTCAGAGAGAGAATACAGGACAGAATGGGGAAGGAAACGGTGGTACCTGACCATGAGGTTCTGACCTACGGGTTGTGCATGTGCCTACAAGGCAGGGGGCTGCCAACTGTCACGTCATCATGGTCAGCCAGTGAGGAAAGACATCAGGACTTTCAGGGGGACTGTGGCACCCTAGAGACTACATGTTCTAAGGGCAACCACTGCTGTTCCACTGCCATGCTGGAAATGGCCCCAGGACACTTTGGGGGAAGAAATCAGAAATCCTGGCTTTTCCTATATAAAATCCCCTATAATTTCTGGTGTTGATTTTTGTTTAAAGTTTGGATTGAACGGAACAAAGATGGAGAGTGAATGTAGCTGGAAGCCATAGCTGGGTGCCCCTGATGTGCAACAATGGACCCAATACTATAGGGCTATTAAGATGAGTGGCTGGGGCCCAGCTTGTGTCTTGTTTCTGGTCTTGTTTGTGACCCTGTCCCCTGAGTGTGACATTCCTCTCTCTGAGCCTAAGAGGAGAAGATTCTGAAGAGCATGTCTTGCTCACCCCACTGGGATGGCCACTATCAGAACGGACAGCAACAAGTGTTTGTGAGGATGAGAGAGCACCTGGGACCCTTGGGAACCATGTCTGGGAAGGCGCGTTGGTTCAAGATTCTGGGAAACAGAACGGCAGTGTCTCAGAAAAGCAAACACTGATTACCACCTGCTCCAGCAACCCCACTCCTGGGAATAGTTCCCACAAGAAATGACAGCGGGGACCTGTCATGTCCACTCATTCTGTCAGCCGCTTTCTCAGCACCATGTCAAAGTAGAGCAGCTGAAATGAGGGAGGATTTTTTGTCTTATTTTTAATATTTCTATCTATCTATCTATCTATCTATCTATCTATCTATCTATCTATCATCTATCGTGTGTGTGTGTGTGTGTGTGTGTGTGAATACATGCCACATATGTGTGCTTGCCCGTAGAGATATTCTGGAGTTAGAGTTACAGATGGTTGTGAGCTGCCAAACATGGGTCTTGGGAAATGAACTCGGGTTCTCTAGAAGTATGGCAAGCACTCTTCACCACTGGTTCATCTCTGCAGCCCCAAGGAAGTGTTTGTTTTGGCTCACAGTCTGAGAGGACACAGTCCATTGTGGCAGAAAATGATGAAGGAGTTCATGGCGGTGGTGTGTGCAGTCAGGAATTCTCACATCTCGACAAACCAGGAGAGCTCAGGCCAGAACTGGAGCCAGGTTACAACCCTCAGGGCCAGGCCCCCAGTGACCCACTTCCTCCAGCGAGGCTCCATCTCCTAAAGGTTCCCTAAATGGCACTGTGAATGGGGGACCGAGGAGTCAAACACAGGAGCCAATGGGGGATATTTTACCTTCCAACTGTAACAGCCTTGTTCACAGGACATTATTCATAGTAGCCCCGAAGCAGAAGCAACCCAGGAGCCTGTTGCTGGCTGGACACCATAAACACATGGTGTGCACACACAGTGTGACACACTAGTCAACTTTCAAAAAGATTGAGATTCCGTGTCTGTTACAACATGGCTGTCTTAGAGTTCCTATTGATGTGTAGAGACACTATGGCTATAGCAACTTATAAAGAAAAACATTTAACTGGGGTTGCTTATAGTTTCAGAGGCTTAGTCCACTGTCATCACAGTGAGACACGGTGGTGTGATGGCAAATATGGCGTTGGAGAAAAAGATGAAAGTTCTACAATTTGATACACAGGAAACAGAAAGTGACCTGTCTCTATACTGAGCATAGCTTGATCATAGGAGGCCTCAGAGTGCATCCCGACAATGACAAACTTCCTCCAACAAGGTCACATTTACTCCAACAAAGCCACACCTCCTAATAATGCCACTCCCCTAAGAGCTTATAGGGGTCAATTACATCCAAACTATCACTATGAATTAATCTAAAGAAAGGCAGATGCAAGCTGGGCGATGGTGGCGCACGCCTTTAATCCCAGCACTCGAGAGGCAGAGGCAGGCGGATCTCTGTGAGTTCGAGACCAACCTGGTCTACAGAGCTAAATAAAAAAAAAAAAGGCAGATGCAAAAAGACAATTATACAAGGTACTTGAAATAGGCAAATTCCTAGAGACATGAGTGGAATAGTCACTGGAAGTAGGCAGATAGAACAGGATTTGGTGCCTAATGGGCTCAGAGCCTCAGTTTAGGGTGGTGCAAAGGTTCATGGGAAGTATAAAATGGCAGTTACACAGCTTGTGAAGTCCCTTGTCATTGCTGAGCACTTACAGATGGCCAAGGTGTTCTGTATACTTTACCTCAATAAAAACAGACCTTCTTAGCTGAGCAGTGGTGGTGAATGCCTTTAAGCCCAGCACTTTGGGGGCAAAGGCAAGCAGATATTTGTGAGTTTGAGACCAGCCTGGTCTATAGATAGCTCTAGGACAGCCAGGGCTGTTACACAGAGAAACCCTGTCTCTAAAAAGCAAAGCAAAACAAAAACAGACACACTAGATCTTACGTTAACATTCAGAAGATCATCTAAAGCAAACATCAATGTGCTGTTTCGGATAATCTGGCCCTGCATGTTACTGGCCATCAGGAAGCCACCACAAAGAAGGGGAGCAAGCATGCCAGTGGGAGCCACCATGCTTTATTTCCTTGGGAGAGGGATGTAGACAGTTATTTGTGAGTTCCACTTGACGGTCGTGGATGTTTATTTTATTCACCCAGGTTTTCTGGATGCTTGAGACATTTTGTAAAAGGAAGAAGCACTTTGCTTCTTTCACAAGTGGGTCCCATCTCTGTGTTGTCTGCCTGTGTGTGTGTGTGGGGGGGTATGGGGCGGCCACCTGCTGGCTGGCAGTGCAAATCAGTGGACTCACCCAGGGACGGGCACTGTCAAGACCCAGAGGTGACCCAACTTCCTTTGAACCTCTGTCTTATCACCTGAAAGTGGAGGCAGCTGGCAAATTGCTCACTGCCTGGGTTTCAGGCTCATCTTGGAGCCATGGGATGGCTTTGCATACTGTGGAGTTCTGTACACTGCTTAAAAGCGAGAAAGGATCCCGTGGTTGAGGTGTCTGTGGGTATGTCAGGGCAGGTGTGAGAACCTGTATTATGTTTTGTTTGCTAAACAAACAAATCCACCCTAAAGGCAGTATTCTCCGATTTCATCCACGAGCAACTGAGGGGAGACTCCCGGTCTGGTGATCTTTCCACACTCCAGCCTGCTGCTTTGGAGCAGGCCCAAGTGCCCAGTTCGCACTGCTAGCCAATAGCATGGCTTCAGCTCCTTGTTTGCACTCGGCTCGGGTATTTATTCTGATGGACATTTGAGGGTGGCAAGCAAAGGAAATCCACACTAGAGCACAGGAAAGAAGGGTGTAAGGAACCACCCCGCCCTTGCGTGGGGACTGCAAGACGCTCTGCTTAGTCCCCAGGCTGCAGGTTCTCCGGGGTAATGGGGCCAGTGTCTGAGCTGTTTGCTCTAGTCTGTGAGTCTCCAATTTTATGATCCTTTTCGCTTCTATTTAATAAAAGCAAGAGCACGCTCTTCTGGGAAAGTAAGAGCCCTCCATTCCCGGGAAGATGAAACGGAGATGCTGATTGATGCATGATGGCGCGGGTGAGTTCAAAACTGAGAGCTGGAAAACCACGGACGAGCAGAGCACATGTCTCAGTGGCCCAGGACACTGGAAGCTCAGCTGTGCCTGGGATCACGTGGTTACTGCTCCCTGCACAGTGCGAGGGTGTTCTACCAAATATCACACACACACACACACACACACACACACACACACACACACACACACACACACGATCAAAACCCCAGATCCCAGGCTGTCAAATGGGAATCGTGTTTGTATCATGGTAAAGTTGAAAATTCCTTCTAGGAGTGCTGTGCCAGGACACTGTGTCTAGGAGACACACACCAGATAACCATGCAATCAAGTCACAAACGTGACCTCATGTTTTAAGTAAGCTTATAACCTTGTGTTGGGTGGGCCATGTGGGCCAATGTGGAAATCTCCCAGAAATCTCACTGTCTACCCTATCCTGTTTAGGTCCTGTGATGGCTTGCCCTGCCAGACCCTTGTACCCACCATGTTCTGCTGCACACACACAGCACCAATGAGGTCCCTTTTGTCCCTACCGATCCTCCACGGTAGCCTCAGATGCCTGACCTCCAGCAAGGCAATATCGAAGCCAAGTTCAGAAGTCCCAGGATAAAGCCCAAACATCTGGGGAGGGACATTTACAGACCTCACTGTTCTCAGTCAACACTCCTGCGGGGCTGAAATCACACATCCTGTCTAACCACTAACTGACTTTGGGACCTCACACTTTCATGAACAGGGCCCTGGGTTTTCCAGGATGAGAGCTGTCTGTCCCTCCAATCCCATGTGCCTGTTTCATGCTTGTTCATGCGTGACACTGACATCTCTGCTCAGGCACAAGGGTGGCTGGTGATGGAGCTGCCCTACTCACCACCCTGCGCCGCTCTCTGTCTAGTGGGAGTGGGAGGCATCCCTCAGATGAACGCATGAGTAGTTGGTACCTGCTGAGGCTCTCGAGTTTAGTGCAACAGAGTCAGACCCGGGCCAAGAGAGGAGCAGGAAGCGTCCAGCCTGGGCAGCAGCATACGCAAAGGTCCTGGGCTGGAGGATGATGGTCCAGACACTAGAGACTATGGAAACTGGAATTGAAAAGGA